CGTGGAGCGTTTCTTTAGCGCACCTACCTGGGTCCTTCAGGACGGTGATGCAAGGTACGGTGCTTATGGGAGGATGCTCCGTAGTTAGTGGATGGCATGCAAGGTCACCTTCGCCGAGTACCTACCTAACGTGCTCGTGGACACCAAGGACTCTGCGAAGCGTTACTGGAACGCCTCATGGGAAGCCAGCCGGGCTACTTTACTTCGTTGTTATGGCGTTGGCGAGTTCGTCTGCTGGGTCGCGTTGCTGTGCCTGTCGTTGCTGCTGTTCGTACCTATTAACCTCTACGACCTAGTGGAGTTCGTCCTACAAGGACCTATCGGTGTTGCCATCGGACTTATGCTGCTAGTGACGTACGACTACTGTTACGAATGGACTCGCTGGGACCTGCTGGGGCCTCTCTTCGTCGCAGTGACCGGTGTGATTTCGCACGCCCTGCGTCTGTGTGAAGAGGATAACCCGCTGCTTTCGATGGCTCCCCAGAGTGTGGTCCGTCAAGCTTTGGCTAACATTCAACTGAACGCTTAGAAGCGTAGGCGTGCCGAGGCGCTTTGCTTGGAACGCTTGCGATACAAGGATGGTATCGAAGGGCTACGCGACTTTCAAGCGGCGGAAGAAGAGGCCCCTACTACGGAAGCATTCCTGGGTAACTCCTATGGAACCGAGCAATCCACGGAACGTCCTATTGACCTTTCGGGTGCGCCCGAAACAATGGCTCGCCTGCGCCACCAGCGTTGGCCATCTGTTCGCCGAGGACGGCAAACTCCAAGTCGGGGAGTATGTCCCGTACCCGGGAATGTAGGCGTCGTGCCAGGCGCTGGCGGGCCGGCTTTTGTGACAAGGGACCTCGGCGAAGGTCAGCGTGCTGCGACGGCGGGAGGCTGGTTCCCGTTGACCCCGCAAGCTCCCACTCACTTCGCACAGGAGACTGGTGAAGTTATGGTGTGATTGTATTGGAACGCTACGGTGGAGTACTGGAACGGTGTGCGAGTTCCCTCCTATCGTCTTACGTGGCTGGGGACAAGGCCGGATGCGCAAGGAGGACCGCGTCTCGGACCTTTCTGTCGCCGCACGAGGACGGATTTCATGGAGAAGGACGCTTATATTCAAGATATACTTAAGCGGTGTCGTGTATAGGAAAGCGAGCTGGCGGTAGGCCCTCGTTCATTAGTCTCAGTCTTACATTTACTACCTCTTGCCTAAGCTGAGTGAGAGAAACAAACAAGAAGCTTTTTGGTGTATTAAGTTATCTTGTGCTACCGTTCCTGCCACTACTCGAGACCGTACTCCCTAAACAGCCGCGGACTACCCGACCCTAGAGGTGGTGTAGGACACAGCGAAGACTGTGCAGGCGCTGAACCGTCCGGGGTTTTGGTCCTATTTCGCAGGGGACACGGAGCCATTTTACTACGAGCCAATGTCTGCTGCGACCTGCTACAACCTCATTCGTGAAAAATATCAGACCATCAAAGGTCACCACGCCATGTTCATGACGAAACAGTTAACCCCCTGGTTCCCAACGTCGTAACTTACGCCATAGCAAATTTAGTATGTCGTAACTTACGACATAGAGAAAGCAACAACAGAAAATGGCTCAAACCATACTTTATTCAAGTCAATTCAGGAAAATAAGATGGGAGAGGTAAATCAAAATCGCATCAGAAACAGGCCAGGCGGGAAGGGAGACGGAGGGAACGGGAAAGAGACACGTGGATAAGGATAGGATAGGAAGGTGTAACCGTGCCATTCCAGAATTTGCGCAATGGTGCGCATCCGGTCCAGTACGCGTGGCAAGACAGATGCTGTTGCTGCTGCTGCCAGGGACATCGACTTCAAGCACTTGTGGAGACAGCTGCGAGCAGTTGGATGGTCATCGAAGAGACCAAGCGGCATCGAGACGGAGTGGAGGTACGTGACTCCGAATGGTGTCGAGGTATTTGTTGGAGAAGATGCGGTCGTGATGCATGCGATAGAGTCCGGTTTGCTGGCGAATAGCGAGGATGAAGAAGAGAAGACCGAAGACAACGCCAGCCCCAATGGCAAAAACGTTGAGGAAATTGATATTCGAGTATCGCAGATCGACACAGGAGCACAGCTGTCACAACACACACTTGATGATCTCTTTGGCTCCTCGAGTGACTCAGACGTCGAACTTTCGCAGGCCGCAGTGCCACGAGCGTTTGGACTATCATCGGGAGCGCTCGAAGCTGCTGAATCACATCTAAATGCAGCAACAAGCCTTCACTTAATGTCGGAAGCTTCTGGCATTGATAGTGAGGCTGAAAGAGATGACTTTGGCGCTGCACCCTCAGGCTCGAGGCTTCGTCCACTCTCCAACGTCAAGCCGGATGTTAACTTTGTCCCAGAGGATGAAAATACGAGCGCCTATGAAAGTCTCAGCTCTGGCCAGAGCGACAGCGACGGCGTGGACGACGGCGACGAAGATTCCCCCTTAGTGGATACTCCAAGCGATGATGATGTCGTATCGGACGCTGACGCTCCACAGATGGACGAGGCATTCGTCGAATCACTTCTTATAGGGCAAGATGGTGTCAACAAAAAAGCCGCGGAGGCAAGAGCTAACGCATTACGAGCAACGGAATGGTCTCCCGTATCGTCGGAGTTTGAGGAAGCGTCGCCCGCGTACCCGGGACTCAATGCAGAAGTGGGCAAGCCTGTACCGGAGCTACGCAGCGTCTGTCATTCACCGCTTCTGAATCTCTTCTACTACATGCCAAAATCACTGTGGGTGATGATAAACGTTGAAACAAACCGGTACAGTATGCAACAGATCGAAAAGCGGGCACAAGCAATACACGTCAAGCAGCTGGAGCCTAAACGAGAAACCCTCACCGGCGTTTAAAAGAAAACCCAGCGTACCAGACGCACGAGATCCTCCAGGTCCTAGGACTTATCATTGCACGGATGTTATGCCCACAGAACCGCCGCCTTGCGGCACACTGGTCGATGACGGAGGACGGGGCAGTTCCGGCTGGAAGATTTGGCCGGTTCATGGGTCGCAACCGCTTCCAAGACATCTTACGAGACCTTCACTTTGTGGACAACGAGAGTGAGCGTGCACGTGACAAGCTGTGGAAACTTCGGCCCGTTGTCACCAAGCTCCAGGACCGGTTTCTGGCTGGATGGTCTCTTCCGGCAGTGTTCTCATTCGATGAAGGCGTTCTTCCTTCCACTTCTAAGCGCAATTCAACCCGGATGTTTATGCCGGGCAAACCTCACCGGTATGGCACGAAAATATTTATGTTGTGTGATGCAATAACAGCATACTGCCACAGGTACTGTATTTTTAACTTATGTCGTAACTTACGCCTTTTGGAATTCTGTTTAACATCTATGTTGTAACGTACTAGATTCGAAATGTACGCTGGAAAACGAAGTGCTGGAGACACTGGCGACTCTTCATTCGACCATAAGACAGGTGCTGCGGCGGTTGTTCGTAACCTGAAGAGCGTGCTTCACGAAAATCGTCGCCATCTGTGGCACTTAGTCGTGATTGATCGATTCTACTCGTCAGTCCTTCTTGCGATCGAGCTCCTTAGTATGAGTGTTTACGTGTTGGGCACTATAATGACGGACAGACTTGGCTTTGACAATAATGTCAAAGCGACTAGGAAGACACGACCGGCAAGCATTCCTCGAGGGGCGTTCACATTCTCCCGTTCTATTGCTGTCCCAAGTATGGTGGCATACCAATGGTGGGACAGCAAACCCGTGCATTACTTGTGCACGGGCTCTGTGATGTCGGCTTCGTCAATCAATAGGAATGTGAAGCGCGTGGGACCAGTTACTGTGCCATGTCCTGCAGCTGTGACGGATTATCAGCGCTGGATGGGAGGAGTTGATATTCATGATCAACTCCGCCTCCAGAAGTTCTCGTTACAGACGTCGACCAAGTTCAAGAAAATACTACATGAGTTTGTTCTTGGGGCTCGTCGACCTAGCGTTAGTGAACGCATACATTTCACATAAGGAAACTGCACGAATTGCTGGAACGGCGGCGACGAGGCGTGGAGACTGGTATTTCATCCTTCAGAATCAGCTTCTCCAGCTCAAGGCTGAAGACTTTGATGGTGTCGTGGCGACTCCACCACCGCTACGCCAAAAGCGCCAACGTGCTCCAGTGCGGCTTACCCATGAAGTGGAACAGTCGGAAGATTGGGTGACTGTCAGCGGTGTGCAAAAGCGACGCCAGCGATCCTGTAAAGTCTGCGCATTACTCAGGACCGACAAAAAAAGAAATCTTACGCTACGACTTTCTTCTGTGAGCGCTGCTCGCTGGACAACGCCAAATGCTGGCTTTTAACAAGATCCGGCATACCTACAGGGGTGAAGCAAAGACCTGCTTTGCAATCTGGCATGCCGATTTTGACTGCGGTCAGGCGATCCCTGTCACCTTAGGGAAACGAGTTGTGCTGCGGCGTCCCGGGAAGAAAGCTGGACTGCGGAAGAAGACTCGCCGAGAATTACAGCTTCACAACGGGGAAGCAGACGACGAGGGGTCTGGAAATGATAATGACAAAAACCAGTGAGACCAGTTTGTGCACAAGAGAAGTGATGAAATGCCAGGTGTCAGATTTGATTTGTGGTAACTTTTGAGTTGTAATGCAGTTTTCGCAGATTTGATGCACGGGTTGCTGCGTCTTTTTCCTTCTAGGTGCCGGCTCTCGCGCCCTTTCTTTCATCCATCGGTGTCATTTACGACATTGAGCTAGTGATGAACACAAGAAAGGAGTATAACTTACGACATTCCTCAGTAAACCTGTTCAGATTTAATATCGCTTCCCGCGGACGTCTATGCACATCATACAGAACCAAAGTAACTACGCACGTCGTAAGTTACGACATAACAGTACCGTGACTTATACGTTAGCTGTCATAAATTCCGGGAGCCAAGGGGTTAAGCGAAGAACCGGTGCAGTTATTCGGCTGGACTGTGCAGCGATACTTAAGTGAGAGACGGACATTGGAGTTTTATTTCATGAAGCAAATTCCATGTTCTGACAGCGAGATGTTGGCACAAGAGCTGGCGATTGAAGGCTCGAGAGTATTCAACAACCCAGAGATGTATAGGAAGTGTTATCGCTCGGCAATTGATGTCCGAGTACTACAACGTGTGGACGCGTATACTACTATTCTCATGCGTAATTCCCCGGATGCGAGTCGCTCGCGTCGTATCCGCCATCTCAATATATCATCAAAGGTGGCAGATGACGATGAAAATGGCCATAAGTCGCTGTCGATTCTAATGCTTGTCGTCCCGCCTCCCGAAGATATCGCGAATTCTAATAGAAATGGCGTAATTTATCTACGTGACGCGTATACTTACATGCGCTTCGACATGTTCGACGACCACGTACAGTTCTCGTATGGTGGACATAGAGATTGCATGGACGAGGCTCAAGCCAGATATCTCTTTGCTGAAACGGGTAACGTGCTCTTCCGCTTCGAGCAAATGATCCGGAGAGCAAACCTCGTCACATTAGGATAATTCCTCAATTAATTTATTTTTATTATCTAAAGTTTGGCTAGAAGTCTCCTCCGAACTCTTCGCCTCCTCCGAATCCTGTATCGCCTCCATGGTATCCGTGGTATTCGCCATTAGACAGCGCTTGACCCACAAGAATACCGCCAAACATTCCAGCGACACCTCCGAGCATTGCGCTTGAGCCAGCTCCCATTCCTCCGTTGGAATAACCTCCGTATACTGGACCGCTGTATACAGGTCCAGATGCGTATCCGGGGGTGTATGTGTGGGCGTATACTGAAGTTTGAGCAACCACAGGTGTCATCGCTGGCTGGGAAAGAGCTGCGTATTTATTCGCTCTGCAGCAAGGACATAGACACCAAAGCATCGCTGAGGCGACGAACAAGAGAATAATTGATCCAAAGATTGTGCTCCATCCAGCCCGAGAGGAAGAGAAGGAAGTCTTCGACGTTGAAGACGTTGGTGATTTGCTCTTGCTTGTCTTGCAGTTGCAGGCGTAGTTGCTCACTGCACACGTAGCTTCACGTGGACAGCAGCATCGTTGACGTTGACTTGCTCGATCAAGCCAGTTGCCGCAGAATTGTCCAGGTCCGTCGAGGTAGGCATGCGAGCAATCCCCGTTGTTGGCACATATTTGACACCCTGAAAGGGGAGCGTGTGTGGCGTCTGAGGAGTTCGATTCAGTTGCTTGAACGGTTCCGACGAGCAGTTGCATGATCAGCATGAACCACAGTAGACTGCGTGCTGTCATGGCGATGACAAGCAAAAGAATATGAAGAAATGTTGTATGCATTTCATTTTTAAACGCTATTTTTATAATTACAAAAGATAAGATGCGGAGGATGCTGTCGTGGAGGATGACGCTAAAATTCGGAAGACCACAACGATACTCTAGATTTCCTGAATGGTTGGGACATCGCAGCGATGCGATCCAAAGATATATATGTACTGTACGTACACCCTCTCGCGACTTGTGCGTATAGCAATCGACAAATTTATGTAGTACATGTACAACAGCTTGTTCAAGTAGGGCTACAGTACTGTACTCAGCGCGCTCACTCAACAGCACCGCCCACCTCCATCTTCATGGGAGTTCTCCCCCAGGGCGATTTTTGTAATCCACTCGTTGTGGGCTAACATCATCACGTTGAAGCTGCAACAAATTGCAACAATATGGCTACACAGAGCTCTTCGAGTCAGAGCGTGTGACGGTAGACATGCGAGCTGCAGGTTTGGTCGAATTGCGGCGGCGGCGACACCAGCAATACAGGCTACTTGCAGCTCGAATCAAAGCTGCAAGCCGCGTACATGTACATGTAGCAAGGATTTTTGACGTGCTCTCTCACGTTCCATCAACACCTCTATCAGCAGGTCCCCTCCCTCGTATTATAGTTTTCTTATTTAAAGAAGTAGTCATTTTTTTAAATTTTAAGCTGCAACGACAGTGACCCCTCTGGACACCGACCACTCCAAATATTTCGCATGCCAGCCTGTTTTTCCCGTCGGATAGGCTGCTTGCAGTAGCCATCCTTCGCCGGTCGGCCAACATGCTCAAGCCGAGTCCTGTTGACAACGATCGGGGCGATGCTCGTACATCATACAAAGTCGCTTACAAAAGCTGCCTTAGACATTATTGCCTATTCCTACGGGCGCTTTCTACCAAAGGACGAAAATTTTAACTTGAAATTTTACACTGACGTGAGTTTTGGTACACCAGCTCTCCCACACCTACAAATACTCATACAAATGCACCCCTACCCCCCTTCCGAATAATCCAGTTTCTGTCAGTTCCATGAAGTTGCTCAAATTCTAACTGGCAGCATGGTGCTCGCGTCCAGTGCCTGGCGCTTCTCAGCGCTGCTGCTGGTTCTCAGCGCCGGAAGCTCGCGCGCCGCCGAGTGCACAGCGCTAACAGAGAACATACTGACGTCTTCAGGATGCCCTTCGGACTGCGACAGCAATCCGTGCGTGCTGTACTCGCCTTCTCAGGACGAATCCTGCATCGAGCTGGGGGCGAGCGGCCCCTGCTACAGCGATGACGACTTCACACTTCCCGGTACCTCCGCGGAGTGTAACGTAACCTTCCAGTGCCTAGACTCGCTGCTATGGGACGGTAACCAGTGGCTACTAGCGCTCGAGGCGAACGCCGCCACGAACTCCAAGACGATGGCGCATGTGACGCAGATCACCGACCTGACGTACAGCACGTCCACTTTATCAGTGTACGTGTTATGATATCAGTTATGATGAGGTTTGTACACGGCTACTGATGGTTATGCAATTTGTTTTAAACCACATACAAATCTCCAGTCAACTTCAGGGAACGCCAACCGAATCTACCAATAAAAACAACATCAAGGATGTCTCGCTGGACCAGAGCTTCTTCGACACGCCCAGCACCGTCGTCAGTATGTTCGTACTGGACGTAAACCTGCGCAACACCATCTCGTCCGTGTCGCTCGCTACGACGTATCAGACGCTGTACCTGACCAACGACAACCTGAACGCCATTCCGGACCAATTCGCCAATTTCACGGCCGTCACGAAGCTGGATTTGTCCTACAACTACATCACGGACCTACCAGAGAACACCAGCGACATCTGGGGAGGTCTGAGCACCGTGACGGACCTTAACTTAGCCGAGAACGAACTCACGGACTTCCCCGTCGTCTTGAGCACCTTGCAGACGCTCAATCTGACCGGAAACGCGTATACAACTATTCCGGATAACGTCTTCACCATGGCCGAGTCAGGCGCACTCAAGTATCTGTACATGGCGCATTGTAACTTAACAAACCTGCAAGTATCGTCTTCGCAGCTAGCGTTGTTAGAAAACCTGGCAACGTTCGACGCCGATGTAGCCATCACAGATTGTGGCTCTGGATACTCCGCCACGACGTTGACTAACGCCGACGTACAGGTGTGTTCCGTATCCACGTCGTCTTCGGATGATGACGGAGGCAGCCACACGCTGGCCATTGTGCTGGGTGTGTGCTGTGGTGTCTTGGTGTTGGCTATCATTGCGTTTGTATGGTACCGTAAGAAACACGGTGGCCAGTTCGGTAGTACCAAGGGTGGTTCTACCATCTTCGGAACCGACATCGGATCAAGTCTCACAGGCGGCGACACGACGTTCGGATCGTCGATTTGGGACGATCCGGATCTCTTGGCTGCACGTATCGAACATCGCGACGTAGAGGCGGTCAAGCTCCTGTCTCGCGGTGGCTTCGGCGAAGTGTGGCTCGGTCTGTACATGAACGAGAACGTGGCTATCAAGAGGTTACTAAACGACAAAAAGTCGATGCAGGACGCACTGGCCTTCGCCACGGAGATCAAGACCATGGCGCGTCTGGATCACCCAAAGATCGTGCATTTTATTGGCGTCTCGTGGACGAATGCACTGACCATTCAAGCTGTGACCGAGTTCATGGACTGCGGAGACCTCAAGTCGCTACTTGACTCGAGTCGCGCCAGTTCGCTGACTTGGGCCAACTTGAAGTGCCAGATCGCCATCGATATCGCCGATGCGCTCGTGTATCTCCACACACTGAACCCCAAGCTCATCCATCGTGACTTAAAGTCGCGAAATGTGCTGATTGACGCGCAGACGGGCGCGAAACTGAGTGATTTCGGTATCTCGCGTAACCGCAGCTTTGACGAGACCATGACGGCTGGAGTGGGTACAGCTCGCTGGATCGCACCCGAGGTGATTCTGGGCGGACATTACACTGAGTTCGCCGATATCTACTCGTTCGGAGTGGTGCTGTCTGAGCTGGACACGTGTAAGGCGCCGTTCTACGACGCTACCAACACGAACGGCGGCAAGATGCAGGACGTGACGATCCTGCAACTTGTGTCGGCCGGAAAATTGCAGCCGAGCTTCAGCGACTCGTGTCCGCCTTCCATCGTCAAGCTGGCGCGCGCGTGTCTGTCGTTCGACCCTGCGCAACGTCCGAGCGCCATCCACATTTCGTACGAACTACGCAAGATCATGAAGGACGAGCTGTAGACAAGAAGCGAAGCTGGTGTTTTTGGTAGCAATGGAGGCTCTTTTGTATTACCTCGGCTGAATTCAAAGTCTAACATTTTAAGGATAGCTTTTCGAGTTATGTCAGCTTCGTACTACTACGTAGTGTCATGTAGGAAGTGGTGTCGACACCTTTCTCCAGCCAGCGTTTTGTCTGTTGTTGCTGACGCAAGGGAGCACCCGGCGTCGTCTTAGAACTTGCAGAGCGAGATAGCCAAAAAGTGCGACGAGTCCGACACCGAGCACAGCGAGTAGCCCGGTGATATAGCGGTTGTCAATGGTGGCGTCGAATGTTGCAGAGTCTTGTGAAACCTGTCCGGCTTCGACGTGGTTGATCATTGCCACGCTAATGACAACAAGCAACAGAAGTAATTTCAAACAACTTGGAGGGCGATGCATTTGGCGTTGTAATTGTCGAATGACGATGACTGCGGAGAGGTGTTTGTGTTGATGATTCGAACCGTGCCATAATTATTATTTCCTCTCTGTGCGGTGCCGTCGAAAACATTGTGGTTTATCGAGGAGATTTGAAAACGGCGGACGTCCAACGAAGACGTACGGGTAGTATTGAGGTCACATTCTCTTTGCTTGGGCAACACTCGAGAGAGATAACGGATATGAATGAAGGTCTCTCACCCTGTCCTTTGTGACTTGATGATAACCGGGTATTAAGTACATCGAACTGAGTTCCTCATTAAAAACGCTTGTACTTTGATCATCTTTCCATTGAGCGCATACCATCTTCACTAATGCTGTGCGTAGACGACACCGACTGGAGGTGCTGTTGACAGCTGCGGGGGCGTGCTGCTTATTCGCTCCAGTGCTCGTCTTCTGCGGTGTCGAACAACAACCAGCATGACCCCCGCGATGGCAAGCACTATGGCCACAATGGCGAGGACGACTATCACTGCAGTGTTACTGAAGATGCCACTGGAGTTGTGTTCATCTGTAACTTCATCCTTGTTGTTGTCTCCATGTTTGGAGCTGGCTGTGTCGTCGCTGTCGTGATCGTCGTCTTCTAACATTCGAACGTGACGGCCCTGGGCGATAAAACTGCTCGCCGATCTCAGCAATAGCATCAGCATCAATACCTCCCGACGCATTGGTTCCTTGTCACTAAAATGTTGTAAAATGAGCTCAGCAGTACCGTCTTGCGAGTAAAGGCCATCAAGAGCTCCGTTTTGTGCTGTTCATTGTTCATCGGCCTCAAGACCAGGGCAGCTGGCGAGACACCTTACCATTTGGCTCGAGTTCGCTCTCATTTCACACAATCTCCGCTCAAAAATCCGGTCAAGTTTTTGGATTAAGCTGAGCTGTGTCAGGAAGAGGTTCAGATGCAGGACCATAGGGTATGTGTACGGCGAGTTCAGTGCCGGGTGCACAGAAACGTTTGCGTGTGTCTTCCGTGCAGAGCGGTGTGCCAGGCATGTCATTGAAGGTCTCAACCACAGTCACAGTCCACAAAGATTTTCATGCAAATACCGGAAATTTATTAGTCGTCTTCCTTTCGAGCACCTAAGCATCTGCATCGTCTTCCGAATTCTGTTTATAGGCTTTACTGGCGCAGCGTGCGCGGGCCTGTACCAGCCATGGGCCCGTCGTCAGATAGGGGTGTATAGATGTCTTGAGATGAATCTCCTACGCTCGCTGTAGGAAGCGGTTCCAGTCTGCGTGGGCCCATACCGGCCATCGGGCTGTCGTGCGTCAGTGTTATGTAAATCAATTCGCTTCGCTCCTCGGCGCTCCCAGTTGGCAAGGGCTCGAGTCTGCGCTGACCTGTGCTAGCCATGGGGCCATCATCTGATACAGTCGTGTAGATCGAGTCACTTGAGTCCGTAGGTGTGTACGGATAATTCTGGAGCGGCTCGGCAGTGGCCAACATGGCCAACGCGGCGGTCGTGAGTAGTAGTCGCGACAACATCTTTGTTACTTCGACTTGGGTCGTTTCTGTTGTGGAGTTTGCGACTGCTGAATTCTGGGGCACCTTTTACACCAATCATGGTGGTTATCCTCTTATTAGTAATATTTATAGTATTTATTTTTAAGAAAGAATAAGAAATCTTACTTCAGGAACATTGGTGATTTTTTTTCGCACCTGGCGTCGTTTCAGTCGAAAACCTGCGGTCTCAATGGGACTGCGGCCTTACGCCACATCTCCGTCCTCGCCGTATTCGACCAGTTACAGATCATCTCCATGAGGCTGCGCTTGTTGCCCTCGCTAGCAATATTGAGCACGCATTGCGTTGCCACCGGCGCTGAGCCGCTCAGAGTGTCACTGGCGAGACGAAGGCCACCCACTGCTGCTACGCCCGACTGGATCCAGTCCGAGGCAGTGGCGTACCATCATGGTGATCCTGCTACACCCGACTGGATAATGACGGAATCTAACTCCACACAAGATGCTGCCCAGCCCCCGCTACCACATGGTAAGCGCGTGCCACTCCAGAACTTCGGCAATGTACAGTACATTGGCGCTGTGGGCTTTGGTAACCCGCCGCAATATTTCGACGTGGTGTTCGATACGGGGTCGAGCGATACGTGGATCCCCGGCACCAGCTGCAATAGTTGCGGCTCGCACCACCAATTCGACTCTCAAAAGTCCACAACTTTCTTGGATACCGAGGAAAAATTCTACGATGCGGTTCGTGCCAGTCGTCGCACCTTTTTGCAGTTTACGAAATTCTAACTATTACTTGTTAAAAATATGCAGTATGGGAGCGGATCGGTATCAGGAACAGTGGTGGTGGATACAGTAACCATCTCGGGATATACCGTGGACAGCGTTCGCTTCGGGATAATTGACGATGAGAGCGACAAGCTGCAGGAGTTTCTTGCCGATGGGATCTTTGGACTGGGATTCGAGGGCCTTGCACATATTAGTCGCCCCACTGTGTTCGCAGCTCTTGCAGGACAGAATGCAGATCTAGAAAATATGTTCGCTTTCTACCTCACACCTGAGGCCTATCGAACAGGCAGCGAGTTGCATATTGGAGGCTACGACTTGTCTGTCGTTGGACCGAATGCATCGTTCCACTACACGCCCGTAGTGAAGCTGCCAGAGTTCGACTCGTTCATGTATTGGACTATCAAGATGAACAACTTCTCCATCGTCCCCCAGACGCTCTCGGACGGTGACAGTATCAACGCTGAGGTCACTGTCCAAGCCGATGTCTCCGTCAATATGTGCGAGCCATTCTGCTACGCCATCGTCGACACGGGGACGTCGTTGATCAGTGTTCCTGCAGGTCAGTTCAACGAGGTAGTTAGCAAGATCACGCGTGGGTTAGACTGCGATGGCATTGACTGCAATGCGGTGGCAGTTAAGGACTTCCCAGTGTTGCACTTTGGCATGGAGCCAGACAACGTCTTCTTGCTACAGCCACAAGATTACGTGTTGTGTTCGGGCTGGGGCCAGTGCAAACTACAGTTCCAGTCAACAACGGACGAGTGGTGGATCCTTGGCGACGTCTTTATTAAGACGTACTACACTCTGTTTGACGCTGAGCGGATGCGGATTGGCTTTGCGTGTGACGGTGATGTTTGTCAAGGCGGACGGGGTAATATCTACGGTGATAATGGAGAAGGCGGCGCGTTCGGCGCGTGGGAGAACGCGTTCCTATTGGGCTCGTGCTTCGCGGCCGCGTGCATGTTCCTGTTCGTGTTCCTACTCAACCAACAGGACGAGGAGCCCAATTTGAGCCAAGACGAGGGCTTCTTGGGAGCGAAAATTGACCGACGTAACTCGCCTCAGGGATTCCAGACACACGACCCGAAGCGGCCACTACTGTACGACGATGAAGAGTCTCAGCATGTGTACGCCACGTCGTCCTCCTCGACCTCACAGGCGTCGAGTTACGCCGAGGCAAGGCGCAACTTCGCAGCGCTGCCGTCGCCTCGGTCGAGTGACGGGTACCAGAGTGATGGTTCGTGTGTTGAAGTTTAGGTAAGCAACCCGTATTTAACGCGCATTTCAGTTATGAATCCAGATGTTCGAAAAAAAATCGAAGGGAACCAACTATTAGATACGATCTATAAATAGCCTGCCAAATCGCATGAAACGAGCCAAGCGACGAAATGGACAGTTGTAAAGTGTTGGAGTCTGACTTTCCAAATTACCTTCTTGATTTCATGCAATGTCAAAGATCCAGCGCGACGCAACCTAACGGTTAAATGAAATTGGATGACGGGCGTGCGACTGATCAAGCCTCACCTAAATGTAAATAGTATTTAGTTAATAAATACAAGTGTGTGCTCCGCAATTCCTTCCTCAAGAGCATCCCGGGAGCCACATCAACATCTTGATGCCGGTTGGCTGGGAGCTGCCATGCATTGCAGCCGCTGTACGAAGTACATGTATTAGGCCATCATACAGAGTGGAGACTCCATGGAGGGTTGGGCGCACCCTCTCTCCCGGCATAGTTTATTCAAATGAGCTGTCATGTTTCATGATGTCAACCCTAACCTTCACTACTTAACTGTGCGCTTGCTATTTCCCTCCAAACAACGAAACTGGGCGCGCCCCCAAGCGAAGAGAAGGAGGCGGCGCCAGATCTCGACGCTTTAACCCGAGACGATGCGCACTCCGTCGAGACTGTTGCTGCCGCTCGTGGTGGTGGCGACGCAGGTACACGTTGCCGAGGCCGCCAACGGGTCGCTCCCGACGTGGCTGGCCTACGTGACGGGCGGTCTGCTGGTCATCATCATCGTGTACTACTGCTGCCGCCGCGCGCGCTTCGACGAGAACCTGCAGCAGCCGCTACTCGGCGGTCAATACACAGAAGACGGACAGCCCATGACACGCCAAGACGTACAGGAATCCAACGACGAGGTGTCGACGCAATGGCAGTGCGAGGTGTGCGACTTCCACAACAAGAGCTCGGCCAAGAGCTGCGTGCTGTGCGGTACAGAGCGCGGCTTCAGTCTCGGACTGAATTCGCCTGTACGACCCGCTGGCACAGGACCCGTAGCTGTGGAGACAGACGTCAAGAGAGAGAAAAGCTTTAACCGTACGCGGTCGTTCGCCATCCGTCGTCTTAACATGCTCAACTCCCGTCAACGAGGAGCCAGGAACCGCCAAGACTGGGTCCGTAAAGTTGGTCTCGATGGTAAACGTTATTGGGCGAAACGCGAGCTGCCTTTCCCATTAGGCAACGCCAAGCCGAAAGACTCGGAAGACGACAAGAATGACAAAATCCGGATCGACATCCCGGTCTCGGACGCCGACATGCTGTCGCCCAAGGGCGCAGGCTCATTGACTGGCGCTTCGTCAGCGTCCACCGCCTCCACATCGGACCCGGACAAAGAACTGGTGCATCAGCAATCGCTGGCGTTCGTGTCTCAATTGGCTCAAACGCCTCGACATCCCGAAGGCCGCATGACCTTTAAAGAATACCGTGAAGTGGACGCCCGTGTGGCGTCTCGTGGCTATGAGATCTCGGAGCAAGACTTGGAGATCCTGGAACAAGTGGCTGCGCTGCCATTCAAGGACAAATACGCGTGGTTCCTAGAGCAGACGTCGGCTCTGATCAAACCCTGGGAAGACGGACACCTCAAGATGCGTGTACACCGAGAAAATATCCTGGTCGAGTCGATGGAACAACTCTTGGGTGTCCAGATGGAACATATCCACATGCCTCTACGTATCGAGTTCATTGGGGAGGTCGCTATTGACGCAGGAGGCCTGGAGCGCGAGTGGTTCTCGCTAGTGACGGAGCGTCTATTTGACGAGACGATTGGCCTGTTTATGTGTGCTCATGTGGACTCACTTGCTTACGTAATCAACCCCAACTCGGTGGAGGCTTCAGCTGATCATCTACTGTACTTCCGTGGCGCTGGGCGCTTGTTGGGTCGCGCGCTCCTTGAAGGACAATTGATGAAGGCCCACTTGGCGCTACCAGTACTGAAACATCTGCTGGGCGTCCCGATCTCGTTCAGTGACTTGGAATTCTTTGACCAAGAAGTATACAACTCACTGAAGTGGATGAAGGAGAACGACGGCGTGGACGCCTTGGGCTTGGACTTTACCGTGACGAATCGGAAACTGAACGGAGAAGTGGAGACGATCGACTTGAAGGAAGGAGGCAAGGACATTGAACTCACGGACGAGAACAAACAAGAGTACATTTACCTGCGACTGCGCTACATTATGCTGGACTCGTATGCAGAGCAGCTGCAGCATCTCATGGCCGGTGTGTTCGAGGTGATCCCCCAGGAATTGATCCTTGTGTTTGACTACCAGGAATTGGAGCTCGTGCTTTGTGGCGTGCCGTCTATTGACGTGGACGATTGGAAGGCCCACACTCAAGTATCGGACGAGCTGCCGGAGGAGTTGTTGGCCTGGTTCTGGGAGATTGTCGACGCCTTCTCGGACGAGGAACGCGCTCGTCTGTTGCAGTTCACGACGGGCTCATCACGTGTGCCTGTGCAGGGCTTCAAGGCGCTGACGAGCTACGACGGACGTATTTGCCACTTCACACTGAAGGCGGTGACGTACCCGGAGAACGCCTACCCGCGTGCACACACGTGTTTCAACCGTATCGATCTGCCGCTGTACAAGTCGAAGAAGGAGCTGGAAGACGTGTTGTCGCTGGTGATAAATATGGAAGTCACGGGCTTCACGGACGAGTAAATTGGTATTTTGTACAGTTGAAGGCGACTGCACCATCGTTCGCGTCCGGAGATATCGACTTGGCGAGGGTACGACAAGGTGGAGGTGCTCTCAGCAGGATAGTTAGGTCCAGGGGAATGAAACAAAAAAACAGGAAAAAAACATAATAAAACAAATAAAAACATGATCGATTGCAAGATAAAATCGGATTATTTCCACACTTGGTTACGGTATACTAGCGTGTCCTCTTCTGGCTGATATAGTTCACTATAGATCCATATCTTCCACGACAGCCGAGGAAGGCGAAGGCTGTCGATCTCCTTGAGCAAATTGGAGCTTGGATGGGTCCGCGCCTGCTGCTGCAGCTGCTTGTTGTTGTGCGAACGCTGCAGCCTCCTCGTGCGTGCCTACGTTCGCCCCGACCATACGGGATCGCCGAAGAAGCCACTGGAGCAGTGCAGTCTCCAGCTGCCTGCGTACGAGCTAGGCACCGATGGCATGCATAGCGGAGCGTGAATATCTATCCGTTGCCCTGCTAGCGCCGCAACTGCAATTTGCTCTGGCCCCTTGAAGCTATCACCGTGTGCGAACAAAAGACGCGTTTCCTCGGGCCAGGGTTCAGTGCCAGTGTTCACAAAACTCCATTGCTACGACGTAAAAAACAAGTTAATAATATAAAAATCGGTGCACGTTAAATATCTCATCTTGTTACCATGTGCACAGGGGTATCAGGTGCGAAAATTGTGCTTTGAGAGGCTGACAGGTCGCTGATAAACTGCGCTTGGTACGACGCCGAGTTGGGCTGTTGGTGTTGCTGTCTATTGGCTGGATCTCCGGCGCCCTCCATGTCGAGGTCATCGGCCATGTCCATTCCCTCCATGGGATTAATTCTGGGGGCTCCAGAGGCCTCCATTGTAGCCAAATAGTTGTTGGCTGCGGTCTCCACGTTCCAGTTGCACGATTCGAGGAAGAACGAGGCTGTTTGCACGTCCAGCTGCAGTAAATGCGCAAATTGATCCACCAGCTCATCGTGGTCGCTGGTAGTAATGCTTTGGAACATTCGCAGCAAGTCGTCGGCCATAGTTGCGCTGTTTCTGAAGAAGAAAAAGAAGAATGGTAAGAGAATATAGACGTCGATTATGAAGCTTGTAGAGTGTTACAAAGTGGATAAAAGATACGTACGAGTACAGGAGAGAGTAAGGATGCTGGCGAGTGTCTAGGGGTCACTGGGGATAGCTGGAAACGCAGAGAGAAGCTGCTGCTGTCCGTGCTGGTCTTAAGGAATTGAGACTTCAAAAAAAACTTTGAAGTTTCAGCGACAGACAGGTCGTGCGAAGGTTGTGCGAACTCGATTTGATTGATAAGTCGCACGAAGGTCTACCGAAATTCTCACATTTTAGAAACCGCTCTAACAGGATATTAAAATGCTTTTTTGGAGGTGAGATGTGCGTATCTTTTCACTTACCCTTGAAGATCGAGGTGCGGGCAATGAAAAGCCACGTATCTGCCAGGTCACTGACCTGCCAGATACGTGTGTACGGTGCCATAACGCAACTCGCCCGATACCTCGCAAGTCTCCATTCGCTTCCTCAACGATGTCTGTTCTTCTTCGCCGAGCCAATGCCACTCGCCTCAAGGTTGCAACCTCGCGGGGCTTTGCTGCCCCCAGCACGCCCATAATCAACTCGCACAACGAATGGGACCCACTGGAGGAAGTGATTGTGGGCCGCGTTGAAGGCGCCACGATCCCCGAGTGGCATGTGTCCGGCAAGGCTGTGTGGCCTGACAAGCACTGGGATATGTACAAGACTAAGGCCGGTAAGCCTTTCCCCAAGGACCTCATGGAGGGCGCCGCCAAGGAACTTGACTATTTGGCCGAGGTACTCGAAGGTGAGGGCGTAATAGTCCGTCGTCCCGAAGCCAATGCGAACTCCTTCAATCAGCCAATCGAGACGCCCGACTTTACTAGTCGCTCGCAGCTGTACGCAGCCATGCCTCGTGACGTGCTCATTGTCTTTGGCAATGAGATCGTCGAGGCCCCTATGGCTTGGCGCTCACGGTACTTCGAGTTCCGGCCGTACCGGAAACTCATTAAGGAATATTTCCAAAAAGGAGGTAAATGGACGGCAGCTCCGAAGCCTCAAATGAGTGACGAGCTGTACAACGAGGACTGGAAAGCCGAGAGCGGCGTCTTCAACTCCGTCGTGACTGAGTTCGAGCCCACCTTCGACGCCGCCGAGTTCACACGTATGGGGCGCGACATCTTCACGCAGCAGAGCCAAGTGACGAACCAATTCGGCATCGAATGGGTGCGTCGCCATCTTGGTGACGAGTACCGTGTCCACGTACTGGACTTTCAGGATCGTAACGCCATGCACATCGACGGTACGTTTGTGCCTCTGATGCCTGGCAAACTATTGGCCAATCCGTTCCGTCCTTGTATCACTGGTAGACCTGTTAAGGCGTACTCGTATAAGAATAAGGAGTACGAGTACTGTCTTCCAGAGATGTTCAAAGGGTGGGAAGTGTTTGTGGCTCCAGAGCCAGAGCTGTCCAAGGACCACCCGCTCTTTTTCACGAGTCCGTGGACGGCAACGTGCAATGTGCTGGTGGTACGTCCCGGTACTGTCATTGTGGAAGCGCATGAGAAGAAAGCCCAACAGTGCTTCAAAGACTGGGGCTTCGAGGTCATCCCCGTACCGTTCCGCAACTTCATGCCCTTCGGAGGCTCCTTCCACTGTGCCACATGTGACGTGCGTCGCACCGGCACCTTGCAGTCGTACTTTGACTAGGACAAAACGTCTAGAAGTAAACCACTAAAAGTTTTCAACAGCTTTTAACGATTCGTTTTTTTTTAAAATAAAATATGAGAGATTCATGTGGTCGATAATTAAATAAGATGTCCGCTATCGTATGGAAGATCCCCTCGCAACATTTTGCCACTGTCAGCTCTCTCCGGAGAAAAAACGGGCAAATTCCGCAGTTGAAACTTGATGTCGAAGAGGAAAATGAAAAGGACTCGCTTGTGTGGGTCCACACGTGGCATCGCGCTTTGGATGTCTATGATGAAGACGTAGAATACGAAGTTTTCAAGTCGCATAAGAAAACTATCTCGAAAAGGATGCTACAGAAACCAGAGAGCAATCGAGGGCCTTTAAAAATATCTGAAAAATCCATTTACGAAATCTTACGAAGGTGATTATGTACTGACGCGAAATTCTTGCGGTACATGCATCTGATACGATGTTGCAAAGCGTATGCTACCGCTCCTTCGACGTACACGGACCAATCGTGCAGAGTTCGGGCTTTGGGAAAAGTCGAATTCTATTTTATTACTAAGTGGCACAGAAGCTCGCTGGAACCAGTGGGGGCATAACAGATAGCGATGTCTGCGATACCCGACTTCTCTACGTATGCGGGTGCACCACCGACGCAACTGCGTTCCCGACCGCCACCCCTGCACTTATGATGACAAAGTTTGGACCACTCTCGTCTCCCGTTGTGGCACATCTATGCTGTTTTTCTTGCTGCATCGAAGCTACTTGGCGGGTTAAATCTCATTAAACAATCTAGTTAAGATAGCAAGGACGCGACGCACGGTGTAGCATCAATGCGGTGTCGTTTCGGCTTGCGTCCAAGGACAAGTTCCGCTTTTGCGTTGCGGCTCGTAGCAATTTCCATCACTACATTAACTGCTAGCATGACGCACACATCTGTAGCTACATAGCAAAACTGCTAGCCTTCAGCGCAACGCACTTGTGGTGTACGACGTTACCAACCATTGGGCGCGTACATCCTGCCACATTTTTGGGATTTGTACATGCAAGGAGTGATTGAAACCGGTGACAAAAGTGAAATAGTTGGTCGCCTTTTCTTACTTTTAGCGATGGATGCGACCACCATGCAGAGGTTTAGTGTCGAAGACTTGACATTTTCCAGAGGCACACACCATTTTTTAGATCCGTTTTGCTCTGTCAAGGGGTTTCTGGGTGTGCTCGATGGGTCATATAACTGTCATAGACCCAAACTTTTAAACGTCGACGTTGAAGAATTAACCTATTCGAAGAGGACCCCACGCGCACCTAAATTGGTGACAAAATACAGCGCAACACTTGAGCAAAGCGCCAGTTTTTTGGCTTGGAAAAAGGCTGGAGCATTGACTTTAGTTACTTTTATCAGCTGGCGAACTGCTGGGTTGTCGTGCTGCAGGACAGGGCATGGGAAATACAATACCCAGTGTTATTTTGCGTGAATCACATCCGTAATAAAGACTGCAATACCTGGCAACACAATAATAATCACTGCAATAATCACAATATATTGCTATCACTTAGTCTTCGATGCAACCGAGAAGGGTGGAGCAGTTCCACATACGCCGATTAGCACGAAGAAACATGGCCGTTTCAAAATTAGCTGGTAAAGTAGATGAACGTAGCGATGTAAAAACAAGCTTACACTCAGAGAAAAGTCTCTCGCATGTGTTGCTTGTCGGAGGAGCGCAGAGCAGGAGAGGATCATACTCGACAGACGCCTTCGATGCAAGCCGCGGCTTCTTGGCTTGCCGGAGGATGGAGGTCGCGAAGTCCGCCGCAGTCGGCACTTCCTCTTGTGCGGTAGACGGAGATAAAATAAAACTGTCGACTGCATGTAATTCATCCGCGGAGAGGGGTAGGTCGTTTTGCAGCTTCACTATTGCAGACTCGAAATGGGGCGAGTGAACAATCTCAGCTGTTGGCGCTAAGTAGTTAGCCATGACAGGATACTTAGCAGCACACGCATCAAACAACAGGCGCACCTCGGCAAGCGTGCATGACTCCGCTTGGATTTTCACACACACACTGTCCAACTCACGAAGCTTGTTTAATACACCTCTAACGCGGCGGTGCGCATGTCCACGAGGCACAAACTCTTCAACAGCCTCCACCGTCAGGACCGCATCACGGATCTTGCAATATCGGTCAATCATCTGGAATGTAGACGACCAGCGCGTAGTGTTTGCCTTAACAGGCTTGTAGTTGGTCGCCTTTGCCAGTGCAGTAGCATTTTTGACATGACGCAGCTGAATCATCAGGCTTTGAATCAGATCTATCTGAGTCTGAAAATCCTGTAGAAATCGATTAACCGCGAGGTTAAATCGATGACTTGCACAGCCAATGAGGGGGACGCCCATTCGTGTAGCCATACTCTGATTGGTTGCACAATTGTCCCCCACAACATAGCGCACCATCTGCAGGTTCTTCTCGTACACGCTCAGTACGGTGGATATATGATCCAGGTGGGCTTCAGCTGTCTGGCCGTCTTCCATTGGCGAAAGCGCAAGAAGGCGCTGGTGGCGCACACCATTGTAGACGTAGATCGCGTAGATGCCGAGGAAGTGAAGTGAGTGACTAGTCCAACCGTCGAACATTAAAGCAAAGGAAGTTCCCATCTCCTTTGCAATGATTGCTCCAACGGCTAGAGCCACATGACGCATGTACCGCTTCAGTGTCTTGGTAGTCGTAGGCTTCATTGTAACTACAGCACGCGTAGCCTTGTTTTCCACTTCAGTGATTGGTAGATTTCTCTCGATCACCCATACCATCCATTGGTAGATATTGCGCGTCACATCGTCCACAAATCCCAAAGGTGCTAAGTGCTGGCGTCTGCGTGGCATGAAGTTCTGCAAACCCAGCAGCAAACACAGCGTGCTTGCTGTTAAGGTGGCTGAGGAGGTTGCTGTACCCCGTGCCGGGCGTCTGCTTCCGAGGAAGCCCACAGGATTTACACTCAAAGCGACCTTCACCGAGGTCGCTGAAGTAAAATGCGCAGAGTTGACGGGAGGTCATCGTGGGTAGCGTGGTGGGTAGCGTGGCTAAGAGTGGTGGCTTGTTCTCTAAAGAGAAAATTGAGAAGTGGGGAGTGTGTGAATCAAAGCGCGCAGAGTGTCTTTGCAAGGCAGTAGAGAACTGTTGGTTGTCAGCGCTCCTGGAAATGGTTGGAAGCGTGTAAAATATTGTATTATTGTGTACAGTTATGTATTATATTTATCTTGGAAAAATCAATAGTAAGTTATTCCGTAAATATACCCGTAATATTGTTATTATACTATTTTTCCCATGCCTTGCTGCAGGTGTGCTTCCGCGTGATTACGATGCAGACTTGATTCTCCCCATATGCTGCAAGAGCACTGCCGAAGTGTAGTTCATTTTAGTGAGAGCAACAAGTGGGACTAGTGGCAAGTGGGAATTTCCCCAGTTGGCCCTCGAACGACTTACGCCTGGTAGAGTGCTCCAGAGTGATCACGATTGGTTTGCTTGAGGTGGAGCCTCGTAGGATGATCCGAATCTACCTGGGTCTATCTGAGAGCAGCTCACACCGCCAAGCCCAATCGTATTTCATTGATAATGATGGAAACGAAGACACCTACTCTTTGTGTCCTCAGAAGCGCTCGTCAGATTATTGGTCGTTCGTGTCGACAGAGATTTTAAAATGGGTTTGCAATCATCGCTGATCCTTCCCTTCCTCTACGTGTCGAATTACATTGAGAAATATCTGGAGCTTCGAGAAAAAGTGAAAGAACTTACACCCCATCAAGAGTCATGGGGGAGGGGGGGGGGTACTCTACACTCGGCCCCTTTCGACGAAGTCGTCTTATAATCGTACCGTAGCTCAATTTCTGAGAACTGGATCGTAAAAAAACCCAATTATTACGGTAATGGTTTCTTAAAAATAAATTGATTATTGAAAAACCAATTATTACGGTAATGGTTTCTTAAAATAAATTAATTATTGAAACAGCAATAATCTGGGAGCTATACTAGCTTAGGCCAAAGAGCGTTTTATCCTAGGTTTGAGGCTTTTATATCTAGGTTTTAGAAAACGCTCAAATGTCTGGTTTCCAAATTGATGGTAGATACTCCACGAAGCAGCTATTTCGATTGAGCTGGTAAGCTTAGGCAGATTTATTGGAATAGCTATTTTTTTTAGTGAATTTACGTTGTTTAAGCTTGAGCACGGCCTTAGGTTTTCCACACTTGCAGAAACGAGAAATGAGATTTCTCGTAGCTTGAGCTTGGGCTCGCCGTCGCCGCGGAGGCTAAGCATCAAAGGGCCAGATGTCGTTTACTAGGCGAAGTGAAACTGCCAGACAAGCGAACAGATCGAAATAAATGTTCAATAAATTGCAAAACGTTTTATCGCGTAATAATTATTACAATATGCTCGACTTCAACAATCTACTATTGAGGTTACTATTGAGATCGAGCATTTTGAAATGGTTACTACGCGATAAAACGCTCTGTATAAATATTACAATAATGTATCACTACCTAATTTTGACTTAAACTTAGCAAGCGTAATAGAGCTAACCTGCTATAATAATTATTGCATGTCGACTAGGCTCACAAATAATTTGTTTTAGTGGAGCCATATTATCCATAATACCCTCATATTTGGTTTCAAGTTATTTTTCCCCGATCCCTGGTAGGATGGTGCCCCAAATAGTAACGCTTCATTTCTTCGCGTTGTTGAGAGAATCGATTTCCAAATCGTTCATGTTCGTTCTCTCACGAAAGGGTAACCCAAATCTTTTAGCGTCTTACTGCATCGCCCCTGAACAGTCCTTAATTACTACTGTACTGTATTGAGCAATACTTGTACAAGTACATGTACCAAAACGATTACGCTGCGTAATCGGTTTGGCCTGAGCGATTTGGTAATCGATTTGCTTTCGGTGTAATTTTCACGAAGTCCACCTTTATACTTGATCATGCGTATAAATAGCTCGTGCGTTGTTTCAGTCACAGATACTTTGTGCGTTCATTTACGAGCAATATCTTTCTTAAGTAGTCTAGCGTATATGTAGTAGCTGCTCCAGAGCGTATCCTTGTTCAACCAAGGAAACAAAAGCGCCAGTGACTCGTGCTCTTGATTCGGTATAGGGTATTGCACAGCATCGACGTGCTACTATACAGTGCAGCGCTTTATGTTGTGCCGAATGTTACGTTTTGGCAAGCTCTGCAATTATCGCGTACCACATTCGGTGGGCACAAGTCAGTTCGCAACTTTCTCCCTTCTCTGAACAATCTCCCAAATCGAGGCTACTGGTGCCCTCAATAACTGACAACAACAATGCGCCTCGCATACATTTTTGCTGTGATGGTTGTAGGTACTCTTCACCACAGCATCGATGCCCTTCCTGTTGTGATTGGGAGCAGAAAGAGTACTGAAAACGGGGCTCTATCTGATCCATTCACTTCAATTCATACGGACGACCAGCGCTCGTTGCGTGCTGAAAATGACCGAGGTGACATCGAGGAAGAGCGAATTCTAAGCTGGCCTGAAGTACTGAAGAAGGTGACTGCCGCTGAAGCTGCTAAAAAGAAGGTTCGGGAGGCTACGGCAAAGATTGAAGACCCCGTCTGGGAGAAGCTGGTTGGAATTTGAGGGTTCATGGAGATAAACGTAGCTAAGAGTTTCGGCAGACTCAAATAACCAGTGTCAGTCAAACGAGAAGCATCTACAAAGTGATAAGACGTGCAAGTGTGACCAGCTCTGTGCTGTTGTGTATAGCTAACAGTGCATGGAGCACTTCTATCCTAATAGATGTATCCAAGTATATCTCAAAACCAGACGATAGAGTATTCTTTTGATCGTTCCACCTCGCTCTGTGTTTGAATTTCGGTTTGCGATCCGAACACTACGCATAAACGATTTTCACAGGGCAAGCAGGCAACTATAGTATCATGAAAACTCCGTTTGCAGCTTATTTCCGCCAGTGATCGAAACCGAAAGTCAGCAAAGCAGCTTCTTAATTTGCGGCTTACCGGTACTAAGTTTACTTATGTGCACACCTAGTGTACATCGCTAGAATTTAAATGCAAATTTTGCCAAAAAAAAATCCAAGAATCTGTGAAACCTACCCTGTGTCATACTGCATGTTTCATTTCAAACCCAGACTTCACTGTATACTGTTTACCTCGTAACTGAGCTACCAACTTTGACACGAATGCGTCGTTCGCCACATTTTGCGATTGTTGGAAACATGCCAATAAGTTGAGCTGCTTCGGTCAGAGTTGTCCAGTTCAAATTGTCGTCTAGTAGATCCATGGTTTACGCAAGTTGGATGGGTTCATGGTCAAGTACGAAGAGAAAGCTGTCCTGGTGGCTTACAGCCTCTATAATCCATTTTGTTGGAAGCTTGGAAAGTTGAACATGAAGCCATGCTAAAATAATTAAATACTCGGTACTTTGTGTCCGTGTTCCCAAAAGTAGCCAACTAAGCTTTGTGAATGCGAGTTAGTACAAACTGAAGTTTTGTACGAAAAGCAATAAATAATACAGCGTCTAGATCGTCTTACGACTTGCGCTGGAAATTTGTGTACCGCTTTTTTCTCCAAATTGCAAAGCGCTTAATTAAAAAAAAAACGTTCCGCAAACGCTTACTGTTCCTAGCAGGTAAAAGTCAAATGTTGGCTAAAATGACTATAGCTAGTATTGTGTTTTTGATTTGTTTTTGTAGCAGTTGCACCGGCTCAGCACGGTTAGGCGTGACCGTTGAAGTGGTTACTGAACCGTTCCACTATTGGCTGGATATGCTTCTGGAACGCCTTTGGGTAATCACATGTTGGAGCGATATGATTGGATGAAGGCACATGGCATTGGTGATTACGCCACACTTACGAGAAGACAACTAGAGGAACAACAGAGAAAAAACCGGTAGTGTTTAGAGAAACATGTTAGACAATAATTTACTCACTTCGGTATTTGCCCTTACTCAACAACCCCCAAACCAATAGTTTTGCTAAAATGTATCTGCAAAATATCAACGTGCATGTGATAAACCCTTTTAAGCAGATCATATTATGAGGCTTTCCGCAATGTGATTGGTTCAGCCATCTTCTACGTAAAAAGTATTGTATGCGTTTGCGGACTTGGTAGGTTTGTATGTAAAAAAGTTTGGCTGTCGGCCTGCAAAAAGTGTGGCTCTTTTTTTTGGACTTTTTGTTTTATTAAAGTACTTGAAGCATGTTGTTTTCCATTTGAGAGGCACTGCCTATTAGGGGGAGTCAAACATTAAGAAATGATCCAAAAACATAAGTAGAGACGTGTCTAATTTGTAAGCGGAGGAGTGCACAATTACTGAGCAGAAACAGTAAAAGGGGAGTCGAACATAGAGGCTCAATTTCGCACTTAAGAACAGACAATTTGCACTTTCTAAAGCGACAGCTCGCACAGACACGGCTTTGACGCCACCACAGGCTACAGCAGCCCGTGCCCTGGTGCACAGTCGCCGTGCTATGAGTGCAGCCTTCTGTGCAGCATCTAACTCATAAATGTCTACTGCACGACTCGCCTTGAGGCGTCCGACTCCTGGCCGGAGACGGGCGCAGAGCGGCGCAGCCACACACGCGCCTTCCTCCATTCCGGTCTGGTCGGTTGGAGGGAGGAATATTTAGGAAATAAAAAGGGCTAGCTCATTCCACCTCCGGAGGTGGCTTACTTTGAAAGTAAGCAGGTCATTGTCAAAAATGTGAGCGTAACCCGAAGGTAATTCTGAGCACGTTTTTTGCAATGTTCGACCCCCTTAATAAGGTGTTTTGGCAAAGCCAGCAGAATCAAATTTTATACGAGAAGATACCAATGTTTACTGAGCACTTTTGCTGTGTCGCCTCTAGCTGAAATGTAGAAGTGAATATAAAATTCATATGAATGCCTCTGGAAGCGCTGTCCGTTCCACAACTGCTACGGCTTACTCTAGTGAAACTACTACTTGTAGAACTACTACTTTATCTCGTGTAGTTGTTACTGAGCCGCAGCCTCAGCAACGGCTACACGCTGTAGCTCCAGCTACAGCACTCCCCCTTCCAATGGCAGTGTCCGTCGTCCCGGTGGTTCACGGTCACTGGTGATATAATTAACTGCCTACTTCAAATTTAGTGCCTTGCGCAGCGCCTTCACGGGTTGCTGTTTGCTGTGCTTGTGGACAAACACCTTCATCGATGTGGGACATCCTGCAGCAGGACATCTGCCGGTTCCCACAAATTCTCAATGGTGTCCAGGCCACCCCAGTGCGCCTTTATCTCATGCCGTTTTTTACTTAGATTATACCGAGCCTTCAATAGCGTATCCACGACATGACCTTCACAATTATGGGCCACCTACAGCAACAACTCTTCATTCACGCCCAGAGACTCGTCGGCGTAAACGTTGAGCCGATTGGCATGAGATTCTTTGCGCTGGCCGGTCATCAAGTTCTGGATCTCTAAATTCCAGTTGGAGATAGTAGCCGTCATCTGCGCCGGACCACACCACTTCACCCGCAAGTTACTTCTCGTGTGCTGCCACACGTCCGCATACAGGACATAGCCCCCAATATTTAAATGCTCCATTGTCGTGTTTCGTTTTTTGTCATGCGCTTTGCGCCCTGCCGCTCTGGTGGCTGCATTCACTGCACTAGTTCATTTGTGCATGTCCTCAAGAGCCTTTTGTAACCGTACGACATGCTCGCGTTGCGTCACATGAATCTGGTCCAAAGTAGTCGATGCAATAGGTCCCAGTACTGCAGTTTGGTCACTAGGCCCCATGGCTAGCAGTCCTGGCATGGCTGTGATGGGCGCTACCCCTCCGAGAGATGGCGACGGAGTGTCGTTAAATCAATTCGCACGATCTTAACTACTCGAGTCCACCCCCGTGGCTGCTCCTCCACTCAGACAGCAGGTCACGACAGCCACGCAGCGTTTCTCTCATCACAACCTCCACCGTGCTATTCGCCCACGGGCATCTAGCCGTAGTGAAATGGTGGTGAGCACCTAACGCGTGTTGGAGAGCCTCAATGACTCTGTTCTTGAAATTTGTTCCCCGGTCACGGACCCTCGTCCGACACACTCCAAACCATGCGAACCAGTCGATGAGAGCTTTGTACGTAGTCTCCGCATTCGCCGCCTCACAGGGAAGTAGTCACGCAAACTTCGACGCATCGACTTTGATGACCAGGACGTACTCTTAACTCGTGTCACTTTTCCCCAAATGCAAGTAATCCTAATGAATCAACTTGTTTGGTCGCTCCGCATACATGGCTTCACCCAGCTGTCGATGTTGAGGAGGGCCTCCGAGCATACTAACACAATGCAGGCATCTCTGGACGAAAAACGCGATGTCGCTGTCCATATATGTCCACACAAACTGTGTAGTGATCTGTTCCTGTGCTACCGCAATTCCACGATGGCCTGCGATGTCAAAGTGGCCAACGACGCACACTCGTACTTGCAGCGCCGTAGCCTCATCATGAATCCATATCCGTTCTTTCTCCTTCTTCCACAGTGAATCGTTATCACTCGCGTCACACTACTTGGTGGTGTCGCTGCACTCTGTGCGTTACTGATCTCTCTTTCAGGTTGGCCACGCGAATGTCAGGTCAAGTTGAGGTGAAAGCAGCAACGGTACTTGCCGAATCTCACGCAGCGTCTTGAACGACGATCCTCATCTAGACGGCAAGTCTTCTCATACGTTGTCGTCCCCGGCGACGTCATAAATCTCGTACTTGTACGCCATTAGAAGTAGCGGCCAACGATGCAATTTATCCGCTGTTTATTTTGGTACGGCCGCTAATACACTGTGCGGGTCGGAAATGTTCCGTAAGCTCTTGTGGTCCGTGAAAAGCGCAAAACCACCCGGACTGTGCAGAAGATAATCTGCACGGCGACAGGTTTCAATGATGGCATACGCCTCCTTTTCAGCGTTTTAGTGCTGATCCAGAAAACCAACCTCTCAACATCATCAATGGCTGATGCTCTTGCTCGCTCAGAGGCCTAACGGAGTGTTCTGGTGGGATCTGGGTGATCACCGCTTCCCAGTGCTGTTCACTCGCATCTGTGTCGACACAAAGGCGCTTGGCTGGGTCTGGATGTGCTAATTGAGCTGCATTTCACAACGCAGCTTTGCAAAGATCTAGGAAGACCGCTTCATTAGCTCCCCACCCCACATCTCTCAGTCGAACGCTCCGAACTTGCGTCTTCTTGCGCCCGCCTGCACGTTCATTCACCTTCTCCAGAATCCGGACAAGAGGATCTACCAGCTTATTGTGAGCGGGAAGCGATGTCCTCATCCCGGTCATCGCACACACAAACAGCTCCAAGTCCTGTCCGGTTGTTGGTGCTGGTAGGCTCGTAAGAGCTTCAACTCTGGCCGGGCCATGACGGACACCCTCGCTAGATACCACTCGTCCACACCACAATGCTTCACGCAGGTAAAATGAGCATTTCGTGGGGGTTAATTTCACACCCTTCTCAGCATAGATCGTCAACACCTTCCGTAACAGAGTCAACAGCCCGTCATCGCTGCTCATAACCCAAACGATCATCAATCCAAATGAATGATCCATTGCTAAATAGCTCTGCAAACAACTCCTGTACTGCTGACTGCACGTACGCCACACTGTTCGTGCCACCCACAAGCACACGCGTCGGCGTGAACACCCCCTCCTCCATCAAAATGGAGTAAATTGCCTGGCCTAACAATGTCATGGCGAGCTGCCAAAATTCCTTGAAGTAGTCCGGCGAAAAGTACCTTGATGATCCACGTAGCTGGTCGAAAATAACCTCTCACATCACACTATTTGCTCCACACAATCATTCGCTGCACGAACATCCACAGTCATGCGATGATCTCCTGCCTCGGGTTTATTCACCACATGAGGTGTAGAGCATCAGTGACTTTTAAGTACCTGTAGCAGAGACCAGCGGTAATCAACGCATCAATGTGTTTTTTGAGAAATGTACGGTGCGTTGGTGAGTATCGACGCGCTCGACACCGCACTGAAACAGCTCCAAGTTTGAGCGTAACTTCCGGCGAGGGCATGTCAAACGGTGGATCTCGCTCAATCACTAGCTGGAAGACATCGATCAGCTCCATGAGAACGGTTTGCAGTTCTGCCACATATTCCGGTAAAGCGCTCCACGTCTAGCTTCGTCAATCTTCTCTAAGAGAAATCGACGGATTTGCTCACGTTTAGTGTCGACACCCTCCTCGAGCGTCGAAAAACACGCTCTGTCTTCATTTTCATTCAAAGCACGCTCATCTTGTGTCGGTTCTAATGAATCCGCTACCCCCGTATACGCCAACACACTCGGTACCCCACGGTCGCCTCCGTCATCCACGTCGCTCATATCCCATTCAGAGCTGAAATTTTGTGCGGCGGCAACTAGCTTTTCAGCACTGAATCCAAGTCTCTCCATTATCCACCTCGATAACAGTATTTACCCCACTCCTATGGACAGTGGCTGCTCTGTGACCCAGCAAATTACTTTCCGCAAAATCAAAGGACTACTTGGTGTTGCAAAACCCAAATTTAACTTCACTTTACTCTTCACAGGTACAGGTTGAAACCCCATACCGGTCACTGCAGTCTTTTCCTCCAAGTCCTGGTGCGTGATCCATGTTCCTTGCTTCGAAATTGCCGTCTGAAGCTTGGAGGTGATGACCAAGCTAGCCCTTCACAGTAGCTTTGAGCGCATATGGGCGGAGAGCTTCTACCAGATACCCCACCACTTTCTTTTGTTCAACTTGAAGCACGTCCTTCATGTTAAGGCGCATTCTCAACCGGCCGCACCGCACCGCATCGCACAATTTTGTTCCGTGCGGTCGCGTCGGTTAAGAACGGTTATGCAACGCATAAAATACATCTTAAGCAGCTGGTATTTAATAGATCTTGTCATTAGTGGAAAATATTTCTTGAAGAGAATATGACCTCAAAGCTCGTGGACTGGAGGCATCTTGGAGTACATAAGGATAAAGAAGAGAGCTGTACGGTCTAACAAACCAACTAACACCGGATACAAAGCAACATGCAGGTGATGCAACTCGAGGTGCACTACGCCCCATATCCCACCGGGCAGATTAATGAATTTGAGTCCTGTACCAACAATGCCTGCCCTAGCATCAAATCATCCCCAAATACAAGGTGTCTACACAGTGCAACAGCAGCAAGAAAGCCCTATCCGGTCAGAAAACCTAGCAGATAGATTGCTAGAAGGGGTGGATAGCTCAGATGACAGCGACATAGTGGAGTCGCGATCTGCTCTGGTGGATTATGAGAGCTGGTCAGCGGATGTGATTCGGAAAGAGTGTACCAAGAGGGGCCTCAATCTAAAGGCTGGTTTGCGGAAGGGGAGCGTATTTCAATACGTTTGCGTCATGACGCTGCGAAGCAGGCATATGACGGCCTTCTATTAGGAGATGGTGGGCAGCCTACAGGCAAGAATGCAGTGTCAGCCCGTACAAAGCATTGTATGTACAGGCTGATAAATATTCTTTTTTTTGGATGAGATCGCCACGCGATTCAGTCAATCATGTTTGTTAAACTACATAAAATGCGATGTTTGTCTGACGAGCACTATCTAATGGAGTTATGGCTGCACTTTACGTTATTTTTTTTGTTTTAGGTAACACTGCACCGAGAGCGGACGTAGATAGCAGGACGCTGCGTGAAAAGAGCAGCTTCTGGCAGGATGTGCAAGCCGCATTCGTACAGAGGTACCCTCTCGATCATGAGCAAAATCAATTGATGTTCGACCATGAATTATTCAGAAGAGTAGATCCATCGCTGGTCAAGCCACACTCGTCTAAGAAGCTGTACGACATGTCGAAAGAGATTATTCGACTTTACTTCTCCGCGGATGAACGAATTACAGCTTCGGGCCAGAATGAAAACGACTTTCCAAACTCTGTAAACAAGAACGGAGCTGTCCCTTACCTGCGCAATGGCTGAATGTACGTCAAAATATCTCATTTCATTAAGCAAAAGTTTTACGCTCTTATATACATGCATGTTGTTTGATTCTTCTTTTGAGATTAAACGCGACCTGACAAACTCTGTTCGTGGGGGACTATTTGCTGAAGATGAATTTGACACGTTGGAGGCATCTTCGCAGTTGCACAACTCTGAAACGACAAAACGTAATTACAAACAGCGGAAAGCAAACGATTCCTCGGAGCTGGCTTCAGCCTTTCGAGCGTACGTCGATGATCGACATATTGAAGGGGAGCATGCTCGGTCTTACCTCATACTGAATCATCGTGTATCTTGACAAAGCGACGTGTGTTCCCCACGGAAAGTTGGACTTGGGGGAGGGTCCATCTCTCTCAATACCGAGTAAAATCGGTGACCTGAATGGTACTTGATAGAGCCGGCGCTTAAATTTATAGGAGAGCAGACGCTGTCTTCGCTGAGAAGATATTTTTCTGGAATATACGGGAGGATATACGCCGACTAGTGCTAAGGTGCAAGAGAGAGCACAAATACTCTCCCTGCTTGGTGATATTCGCAGCCAGTTGGGAGATACTGACAAAGTGCTCGTGAATAGTGGCGATGAATGCCAGCGTCTGCAGAAAGATCGCGAGCTACTCGTATTAGAACGGCAAAAATGGACTGAGAAGCTCCAAAGTGTGGGGTTGTAGCAAGAACGTTCATGACACAGTTTGCATTCAATACATAACATTTTTTCCTGATAGTGCTGCATTCGATGTTAACGTGAGGGTGATGTAGATCTTTGCTTGATTTTTTTTATTTGTTTAGTGCGGCGTTCAATATTGAGCCGCGGGCGATGCAGTTCTTCAGTTGCTATGTACTGGACAACGATTTCGCGCGTCACATCGTCATTAATTTCACAATCTCGCCACGTACTCAGTATAAGTGTAAGATAAGTCGCGGCATTGGTTCCAAGTGCGAAGTTTTGATTTAATTGATCTGGCTGAATGGCACGGGTTCTCCAATTCATTCTGCTCGATACAAAAAATATGCAAGCGCATACATCCATGTATGACGTGAGGTGCATTCCTTAGCCACATACATAATGGTCTCTTAAGAAGCCTCCACCTATTGATTCTGAGTGTACGCGTTGTCGGCAACGACAAAGTAAGGGTCCTTTATATCTGATAATAGTTTGCTAAGTGACCACTGCAAGAAAGCCACAGAATCATTCCGACAACCGGGAGCGCGGCAAGCCATCGAGGTAAACCGACATGTGTCGTCGGCACACGACTGCACATTTAGATCATATCTTTGGTAGTGTCCAGAGAAGAAGGCAATCACGCGTCCACATTCCGAGCTGCGAGGCACTCGTATGGAGCACAACCACCCATCTATAGCTCCAATACAACCCGGCATTGCACCACCCGTGTTAATAGATCTGAAACCTGCTTCACTTGACTCCAATTCATCGTTACTACGGGGGAATTTCATTGCTAGCTGCTTGCAATTATTGATATTTCGTAGAGCAGCATGCACTACACGATAAAAAGCGGCCCGACTTGTACCCATAATTACACGTATGTGGTGATAGCTACCACCAGCCAGCCAATTGACACACGCTTGCAGCATTCCTGCAGGAGAAAAGGGGACTCACCTTGAGCACACCGCGAAGATTGAAGATGGTCTATGGAAAGTCCTGGGCCGACCAAAGAAAGAGGTCTTTCGAAACCCGCGTAGCTCAAGCAGTAATACTGCTTGAACTCTCCTTCTAATAGCAAACGTTCAGCATGAGCAAACCAGTTGATGCGACGTCGAACTACATTCATTTCGCTGCCACTCGAACGCTCCTCGTCGGTGACAGTGGCAGCAATCGCAGGCAGAACAACAGCCCAGAACTATCCCCTCTCGTTGGACGAAAACATGGCTAAAGTAGGGATTTGAACAGTGCAGCTTCAACTGAGCATGTTGAAGCGGAGAGTGATTTGATTGGCGCCGTCCACAAATAGTACCTTACCGCGTTATGCAGTGATATCACCGCATGTGATGAAAAGCTCGCACAACAGCCTATTTTTTGCCAACGCTGCATGCGACCACCTAGCCCTTCATTGATTCATACCCAATGATAATCCTCTATTTAGTCGCATACGACCGCATGGGCCGGTTGAGAATGGACCTATTATATAATAAGCCGATCCACAATTTCGTAAAAGTCCGCCAATCAATCGAGACAATCTCGACTCAAGCATCTTGAAGCTCTGTATCTATACATATGTTCTTGACCTCCCGATCCAGTGTCTTACAGGCCCGTCTTGTCAAGCATCCGAGCAGAGAGAAAATAATTGCGCCACTCCGCCTCTGTCACGTCCTTTTCTCTTTAAAAAGCTCAAACCCGCAAATTCGGATCATTGTTCCTTGCTCAATACAAGAACTTAAAGACATTGCAAAGACGTTCGCTTGAGGTCCTTGATTCAGTGCCTGCATACGCCTAGAGTAGATGGCGTAGCTGCCCATAAAATCTCTCTTCTCTTTTAGCAAACTTCCTCGATTTATTGGAGGCACAGGCAGATTAGTTCCAGTCGCCACAGTGACGGCCGGTGCTTGCGTCAAGCGACAATCCCTAGGAGGGACTGCATCTTGTGCAAACGCGCCCCAACGGGCCTGTATGTGAGGCTGTACTGCCTCAGCCAAGTTCTTCAGAGCCGGTCTTGGCGTCCTATAGCTTCTTCGGCAGCACGCAGCAGTCGGTACTGCTCCTTTAGAAACTTTTTGTGCTCGCCCATTTGACGTTTCATTTCTTTCCCCTATGTTCCAGCAACGCCGACTGCCGGTCATACTACGCTTGGAGATACTCCTACGTCTTTGCGGCAAGCCGGTTTTGCTGCTCCTGCACTTAGCCAAGCTGCACTGCGTGTTCTATTGTACCACTGCTGAGTGTGTGGCCAGCGATTTGAATTGGCGACTCGTCTCTCCGCTGCCATTGTGGATTACCGCCGTTCTTGTCGTCGTTTCCTCCGTCAGTCGCGGGTCGTGGTCCATAACGGGAGTAAAGGTGGGAACAGTGCTATGCGTGGACCATGGGTCTACAAGTAGCCGAGCGCGGGGTCATCGCCTCGTCGTCTTCTTCCATGCTGAACGCGACCTCAGATAAGAATTCTTTGCTGTGTCTCCATCAGTTGAATTTGCAACTAGAGGAGACACAGGAAAGAGAGGCATTTACAAGGATTATGTGTTCACTTCTACATTAAATGTATTAAATGTATAAGTGAATATATAATCCTTTTAAATGCCTCTGGAAGCGTTGTCCGTTCCACAACTGCTTCAGCTAACTGGAGTGAAACTACTACTTGTGCAACTGCTACTTATTATAATAATCGCGTGTAGTTGTTACTAAGCTGCAACCTCAGCAACGGCTACACGCTGTAGCTCCTGCTACAATAACTTTCAGCGAGACGCGACTGAATCTATTTTCTTGTTGCTTTCACTACGTGACAAAAAGCGTAGTCCCATCAAATTGTGGCATCAGCTTCTATAATAGCTGCCGAGGCATCGCTGGGCAATATGAATCGCTACTGTACCAATAATGACGCCGATCTGTACTGCCTAAATATGGTGCAATGAAATCGGGGCACGAAAGGCCACTTCTGTTATAAAAACAAGTGATAGACAATTATAAAGTTGCTGTTGGGGCTAGAGCTACAGTGAGACGTTATCGAGTCACCCTTATACGTTGTCTGTTCATTGCGACTTCATAGAGGAACGTAAGCTTGTATGACCAACTTGGAATATTTTGTAAACTCTCCTACGTTTCAATTAGCATCAGCATTTGCACCCACTTTTTTATGCAATATCAATACTATTTTTGCCACTGCACATGCAAGACAGAACTATCAGATATACTGAGCGCTCCAGCCACGATCTTCCTAAATTTTGATAGATCATCAGGTGCACCCTGACAAAAGCTGCCGCCGTCACGTGAAAATAGATCTCCCCTTTTGTTATCAGTACAATAAATCACATCAAATGTGATTAATTTCTGAGACTAAATCTTATTTAGTAGGAAATTAAACTAGATCAGATTTATTCTACAGGTCTCGGATTCAGTTACTGTGGCGAAAGGAACTTGTATTTGTCAAGTCCGGTTACATGTAGGTTACAGGGTTGATGAATCAACAAGCATTGATCATTAGTCAAAATAGAAAACATACGCATTTGGTCTCGGTCGTATAATCGCAGAAACTATTCTATCTAACAGGTTCGCTCAGCGCCTAACCAAATTTGGAGTACAGACCACAATAGCAATTCCGACACGCAACTTGCGTGCTCTTGTTTATTATTGCATGCATATATTGGAGCACACTGGGCTTGGATACTGTGCTAAAGCTCCTACATACTCATTGTCACCTACAAAGTGTACTGCCACCCTGAGATACCATGCGTACCGGTACCGAAGTGTTATTCATGTGCTACATTTCTCAGTTGGATGTTGTACGAATGTTAGTCCAGGTTGCGCTCACGCCAGTTACCGTGACCTCATAGCTAGCGGCCACGAAAGAGGGTCGTACTACTGAAGAGCACTAGCCCAAAAGAGAGGGCGCATACCACCTAAGCAGCGTGAGCCACGGGTGAGCAGGGAACCACGAAGCCAGGAAGAGCATAGGCCATTGAAGGACACAGCATCCAAACTGTAGTACGAGGTAGCGCTCCAAACCGCGGTATTAAACGGGGCCGGATAGGACTACGGAAAGATACGTGGTTAAATACACGAAGCCAAGATCTACTGGGTAAACGACACCAACAAAACACGCAAACCAAGAAGTACTTAAGTTTGCGGCCGCCTCATCTCCAACAAACACTGTCACTCCGCCGCGTATCGTCGGCGGCCGGCTTCAAAGCTCCCTAATGGAGTGTGGTCTGCGTCCGTTTGTACGTCCGTCCGAGGCTAGGATTAATAATTGTAACGCAAATATGGGCGTTCTGCTGGCTACCGAGCGCAGCGAAGACGGCGTCGATTGGCCAAA